TGCGGTGAGCCGAGATCGCGCCATTGCACTCCAGCCTGGGTAACATGAGTGAAACTCCGTCTCAAAAAAAAAAAAAAGATTTTTTTTTTTTTTTTTCCTAAGACAGAGTCTCACTCTGTCACCCAGGCTTGAGGGCCCTGGTGCAATATCAGTTCATTTACGAGCATAAAGATTTAATAATGAAAAATTTTTTTTAATTACAAAAAACAAAAAGATTGAATAATGAACATACATTTTAGTGGGAGGTCACAGGGAAAAAAAATCAAGCTAGCAGTTAAATAAGCAAAATAACTGAAAACTGTGATGTTATGGAAGAAATAAAAGATTTAGCTAGATTTGTGATTCTGAACCAGGGTGACCCCCCCTCCCCCATGGAACATCTGCCAACCTGTGGAGACATCTGTGTCTGTCCCAACTTGGGGCAAGGATGCTAGTGGTAAACACTGGTTAGTGTCCAGGGATGCTGCTAAATATCCTACAATGCACAGGACACCCCCAAAAGAAAGAATGACCCAGCCCCAGATGTTAATAGGGCTGTGGTTGACCCTTGAGCTAGATGATGGCAATGGGGATACTTAATTTAGGTCAGTTGATCACTGAAGACTCTTCTAAGAAGTAACATTTAGGCCCAGCCTTGACTGGTAAGAAACTGCCAGGCCAGCAACAAGCAGTGAAGGAACATCCTGGGCAGAGGGGACTTGGAAACAAATAATGGAAAATCCATTACATTTGTGCATAATATACAAATGCCTAAATGAAGAACAGAAGGGGGCAGTTACAGGTCGGCCATGTCTCACTAAGTATATTCTTTCTTGCTTGAAGTTTTGAGAACTTTTTTTGTAGTTCAAAAATGAGAAGAAAAGCAATAAAAAAGCAGATGGGCTAGAAGAGAGCTTCTTGTACAACCAGAGGTAGATTTCAGAGCGCAACCCTCACAGTGTTTAGGAGGCCCTGGCATACATAATCTGAGGTCAGTTTCTGCCCTCCACATCCATCTGACCTTCTGAAATGACAGGATTTCCCAGAGACCACTTGATTTAGAATCAGATAATTTATGTTTGGTATCAGGTTTTATGCCTTTTAATTTTGTTATATTTGGATGTATTAAGTGATCTTGATTTTAAGAAAAAAATATATTACTAGCTTGGGCATTAAATAAGATTAAATAAGTGTTTCATAAACTGTAAAGAATAATGTAGATACAGGATTTTGAGAATAAAGAGAGTGAAGCTTGTGCTCAGGGAATTATCTTTCTGTTTCGTTTTTCTGTTTTTGAGACGGAGTCTCGCTTTGTCACCCAAGCTGGAGTGCAATGGTGTGATACTGGCTCACCACAGCCTCTGTCTCCCGTGTTCAAGCAACTCTCCTGTATCAGCCTCCCGAGTAGCTGGGACTACAGTCACATGCCACCATACCCGGCTAACTTTTGTAGTTTTGGTAGACTTGGTTTTACCATATTGGTCAGGCTGGTCTCGAACTCCTGACCTCAGGTGATCCACCCGCCTTGGCCTCCCAAAGTGCTGGGATTAAATGTGTGAGCCACGACGCCAGGTCTAGCTTTCCGTTTTATCCCCTGGATTCCAAAACTCATTTAAGTAAAGAGAAGTGATGACTTGGCTACAGAGGAGAAAGGAGGGATGGGATGGGAAGTACAGGCTAGGAAAAATAACTAAAAACAAAAGTAGTAGCACCAGTTACTTTATTCATGCAAGAAAGAAGGGGAGAATTATCCTGATGGGGCTGATAAAATCACAGCAAGATGGCTCTCGGCCAGCTCCAGGCCCCTAAGACGATGGTCAGCTCTCTCTTTTTTTTTTTTTTTTTTTGAGACGGAGTTTCACTCTTGTTACCCAGGCTGGAGTGCAATGGCGCGATCTTGGCTCACCGCAACCTCCGCCTCCTGGGTTCAGGCAATTCTCCTGCCTCAACCTCCTGAGTAGCTGGGATTACAGGCACGCGCCACCATGCCCAGCTAATTTTTTTGTATTTTTAGTAGAGACGGGGTTTCACCATGTTGACCAGGATGGTCTCGATCTCTTGACCTCGTGATCCACCCGCCTCGGCCTCCCAAAGTGCTGGGATTACAGGCATGAGCCACCGTGCCCGGCGGTCAGCTCTCTCTTTAGCAGTCCAAGACCCTCTGACCTGAGATGTGACAGGATGATTACAGACCTCTTGTCCAGTGTTTAGAGCCTAGCTGTCTGTATTTTTTATAAAAATATCTGCCTTCCAGACACTAGAAGTAGAGATCCAATAACTGGGTGAGTCACCCTTCCTCCACCTAGAACACAGGCCTTGATGAAAATCATGCTTCGTCAATTGTTGCTGAGTAGAAGAAACAAATACATCCTCCAATCTTCAGCTGGTGGATCTGGCATCAAAAAATAATCCTGTTAACTGCATTTATTAGTACACTTTTCTGGCTTATTTGCCTTTTCAAGTTTCTGTTTGCTTTCTTGCCTTTGAAGGGTCTGCAGGCTGTGAAAAGTAACTTAACTTTTTAACAACTCTCCTTGCTTGTCCTTGAGGCAGCTTCAGAAGATAAGACACCAAAAGGAACGATATGTGCCTAGAGAGAAGAAAAAATAATGGTGAAAAACGTTTATCAACAGCCTCTGCCAGCACTAGGCAACGCCTGAATTTTACTCTGGCACTTTCCCAATTCAATTAACATTCATATGAATCAGTAAATAATACGTAGCAAATTTGATTCCATATACTTTTCAAAAAAAAAAAAAAAAAAGTACTGGAAAGAATCTTAAAAGTCATTGAATCCTTTTTATAGTAAGGCCCCGAGATTCCAAGGGACTGACAAAGCTCGAACCGAAACTTGTTTTCCACCTCGGGAAAAACGAATCAACAAAAAATATCCTAAGCAATTGCTGGTATCTGAAGCCCACTTTTTTGAGGCTGTTTCCTTTGTCATGTTGCGCTGATCTCAGACACTTTCTTTCCAGAATGCACCAAGAATCCAAAGCTCCAAACAAGTTTGGGATCAGCGTTGGGGAGTAGGGGGCAGTGGGGGTGCATCTACGGGCGGGGTGGTATTCTATAAGCTTTCGCTGCATCTCAGAATTGTGCCAGTGTTTCTCTTTGGAGCGCCGCGCCAGCTTTAACAACTGTTTCGATATGATTTGATCGTGCATCGGCCCGATTAAGCCTGACAACTAGCCAAGGTGAGTTCACATTTCCATTTTTTTTTTTTTTTTTTTTGAGACGGAGTTTCGCTCTTGTTACCCAGGCTGGAGTGCAATGGCGCGATCTCGGCTCACCGCAACCTCCGCCTCCTAGGTTCAGGCAATTCTGCCTCAGCCTCCTGAGTAGCTGGGATTACAGGCACGCGCCACCATGCCCAGCTAATTTTTTGTAGTTTTAGTAGAGACGAGGTTTCACCGTGTTGACCAGGATGGTCTCGATCTCTTGACCTCGTGATCCACCCGCCTCGGCCTCCCAAAGTGCTGGGATTACAGGCGTGACACATTTCCATTTTTAACTTTCCCTAATTTGAAAAACACTTTTAATTCTCTCCGCCCCTCCCCCCTTCCCCTGGAAAGTTTGTTTTCAAGCTATAAACCCTCTTCAATTCTCGGTTTCCATCTCGGTTGCCTGAGAATCACAGTCATTAGCCAAGTCCACTTGGACGAAAGCAAAGCTACCTTTGTGTACGTAGTGAAAGCCACCGCGTGGCCAAGGAGAACCACTGGGAAGAAGGAAACATTTTTGTCTCGAGCTGCCCAAAGCGGGCGGGGATGGTGGGTAGGCAGGGTTAAACCGACCGAAAGCGTGTTTAGTGGAATGGCTTCGAAAGCGGCCGAGGCAACCGAAGCAGCTTTCGAAGTTAGCAAACAAAGCGTCTCCCCAGTAACCGCCCGGTGGCAGACGAGGCTCCTGCCATTCAGACCGCGGAGTCGCAGCGTCGCCCGGCCCCCGACTCCTCCTCCTTGCGTCTCTCCTCCCTTCGCTCCCGGCTCCCCAGCGGATATGAGCCACCAATCCCAGCCACAAACAACCCTTCAAATGAAATAGTGAGGCGGCCCTCTAACGGGCGGCCCGGGTGCTGGCCGGCTCCCCGCGCCACATCTGTCCCGCACTGGGCGCAGCAGCTGATTCATCTGCAGCCAGGCCCAGGAAGCAACTGCGCTCTCGGCAGTTGCAGTGCAGCGTCCGGGCGGGTGGCTTCTCCCCAGGACCCCGTTCCCCAGGAGCCGTTTTAGATGTGTGTTGTCTTCTGTGTCGAGCAGTCAGCAAACCACAGAAGAAAAAAATATCGTTAAGGTTGCTGCCTGCTTAGAGAGACTCTTTTTTTTTTCCCTGTTGATTCATTTTAAGTCCTGTAATTGGAAAAACCACCCAGGCCCTTTAAACTCTGGCTTCCACGCACTCTCGGGGCGGGGGTGGTTTTTTTTTTTGTTTTTTGTTTTTTGTTTTTTTTGAGGGTGGCAGGCTGGCTCTAATTTTCGGCATAATCCTGAAACAGACGCTCCAAAGTCGAGTTAGTTATCCCTTGGCTGTCTTAGTAGTCCTCAGGTTTAACCTTATTTCCGCAGAGCTGTTCCTGCCGTCATCTCCACCGAGGTTACAGAACAAAAACAGCACAGAGCCCAGGCTGGAGGTAGACCCGGGCGCTGTCTCTGCTAGGCTTATTTACGTTTGGGTTTTTTCTTTTCTTTTCTTTTCTTTTTTTTAAGTGATGGAGGAAGTCTCATTGTTTGGCATGTGACAGTTCGTTTGCTTCAAAACAACGGGACGTAACCACGCGAAAACTAGAACCAGAGGAGGGGGCATACGTTTCTTTAAGTCAACCAAACAGCATCTGATCTTTGAAAGGGCAATTTCATCAAGAAACTCCTGTTGGATCCCTCCTAACTGTGGACCAAAATAAGTCAACAGGAACGCGTGTTTACTTAATGGCTAGTTTCTGTTTGAAATACCGGAGGGGAGGAGGGCTCCCCTAGCAGGGTTCCAGTCCTAAATAAAAGTAGACACTGTTGACCGAAACAGATGAGCAGCCACGGTGTGGTCACCCCTGAGCTATAAAAGCGCCGCTGTCGGGGTCCCGCGAATGGGGGTGTCAGTGGCGAGGCGGGCGCGAGCCCGGCCGTCCCCAGGCAGAGACATTTAAAGAGCATGTGAGCATGACAAGTGTCTGTCCGCAACGTGTCAGATTTCGAAACTGCCTTGCAATCCAGTCCGGAACTCGCAGCTTTAGCCCGGGGGAACAGACGTTCGCTTAGGCTGTGTCTCATCATCCCACTCTGACCCCCCCACCCCCGCCGACCTCCCGCTGTTGTTGCTGGAGGAAGAGCCCCGGGAGGAGAAGGGTGCGCCGCGCCGCGCCCGCGTGTCAATGGCAGCCGTGCATTCTGGAAGAAGTTGGTTCTTGTCTGGAATACTTTTCCTCCCGTGCCCCGCCCCTTGAATCAGAGGCGGCTGTCTCGTGCGGCTAGAGCGGGGACAGAGGAGTTCGGGGTAGCTGTCAAAAACGAGACGGGGAGGATTTTCTTCCCTGGGGTAGAGGAGGGAAGGAGGGAGGTGTCCTTTTTTCCATCTGTTGCAATTTCCTGACCAAAGGCATCCTTGCCAGTCCCGGGAAGAAAGGCCCAAGGAAGAAACCTGGGGCGCTCGGCTGGTGCCCCCACCGCCGGGCGAGGGATGCGGGAGGTCCGTGAGCGGCAGGCGGAAAGGATAGCGTTTCTGGACACGGCCGTCCCCCGCGTCCGCGCCCACCCCCCCAGAGACTAGTGACAGCCGCCACCGCGCTCGGTCCAGTCCTCCCCGGCTGGAAGGTGCGGGGGAGGGGCGGAGGAGCGGCGGGGCGGGGGTGGGGGGGACTGGGCGGGCGGCTGGGGGCGGAGGCAGGACCTCCTGTACCTTCCCTCCTCGCCTCTCTCACTCTGACAGCGCCGAGGTGCGCCGAGCAGGAGCAGGGAACAAAGGAGCGGAGAGGGGAGGAGAGAGAGTTGGGCGAGGGAGAGCCCCCGGCCGGCTGCCAGAAGATCCCGGCAGGAGGAAGCCAGAGTGTCACTTGAATTCCACCCAAGGAGCGGGCGCCAGGGATCAGAGCGCCCTGTTTAGCAGTAACGGCTGGAGCACGTCCTACAAGTTACGGGAGAGTCGGCCGTGAAGGAGACGATCGCTTGTCCCCTGGGTTCCCGCTCCTGGGCCCTCGAGACCCCAGCCCTGCCTCGCGCTGGGAGGGAAGTTCCAGAATGAAAGGCAAGAAAGGTAAGGCGGCCGCGGGCCGCGCGCACCGGGAGACGCGAGTCCGGGGGAAACGTGCTGTCCGTGTCGCGCCGCGCCGGGTCACTTGGTGGACTTTTCCGCTCAGAGGCGCTTAGGCTGGAGCGGCGGCCGTGCTCTTTGTTGAGGCTGCGTCTGAAACGGCAGCGGCTGTTTTCCTGCTAGACACAACACGAGGGGCTGTTGTGGGGCGATCCTCTCCACGCTGCTGGCACGTTGTCAAGAAACACGCTCAGCGCCTTGTTTGTGCGCATGCAAGTTTCATTGTCTCGGGCGACACCCCACGCTCGGCCCAGCAGCCGCGTGGCTGCTCGCTCTTTCTCGAGTGTTGGGGATATGGGGTCGGAGTCGGGGGGACCCAACACCTCGTTTTTCCCGATCGCGATCTGAGGCCGGGGGGGCTGCGGCACCGCGGCGCCTTTGTCTGAAAGAAAGTTCACTCCTGAGCTCCCCCCTACCGCCCCCCTACTCACAGCCCGGCCCGAGCACTGTTCTTCAGGGATGTGGTGTTTTTATGCTGGAAAGAATGTGATTGTGGACCCCCACATCGCCCTTGGTTGTAAACAGCTCTGGAAAGCCAGACTTTTACAAATTCTCAGTCTCTAAAAGTTTTCCCACGATGAATTTTGGGGCAGGAGGAAGAGTTAGGACACAGGGCCAGCCGCTTCAAGCGACGTGCAGTCAAAACGTGTCCAAAAGTGACAAGCAGGCTTGATTTTAAGTGCAAAGAGCAAGGCTGTCATTGTTTCCACAAAGCGTTCTGGAAGCTTTGCAACTAAAACTTGCCGTCAGTTTGGTTTAAAAACAAAATACACCGCGGGGGGCGGGGGGAAGAAACCACACACAACACCCCGAAAGGTCAAAGAATGTGAAGTCCCTTTTGAAGTTAACTTTTGAGTCCCTGGCTGGGAGGTCCCCCGAGTGTTCCGCCGTGGGCTGGAGGTGGCGTTTCTGTTGTGATTTATGTGGAGTGCTTCAAAACAGAAGTTAATCGCTCGGGAAGCGGACTGGAGGGGCGGCGCTGCTGCGCATGCCCGGGAGCGGCCTGGAGTTTGGAACTCCGCATTCTTTCAGACCCGGCCCGCTGGGGGGCGTTCCTTGGGGGTAGCCGCTAGGCCAGCGGGGTTCCTTCGGCTGCGTTTCTGTGGGAGGCCCGAAACGCGCGGAGCTTCCCTCTGCCGCCAGGCTTTCCCAGTGAGAGTGAAATTAAACGTGAAACTCGGATCAACTGGTAGTCGTTGGTGGTAGAACGCCCCGAGGTCCCCTCTCCGCGGGACGGAGGGAGGACACTGGACAGGGAATTGGCTCTGGGAGAAAACGCGCGGGGAGCGTCCGAGACGCTCCGTGAAAGCCGTGCCGACCCTTGGGAGGACTGACAGGTCTAGGAAGGCTCGCTGCCTGTTCCACTGGGGCTCCCCGGAATAAGTGTCGGGGGGTCTGTTAGGAGCACGGTTCTAGCGCAGAGCCCGGCTTCCGCCCGGGTGGGCTCCCCGCATTGTTCGGGCTCTGGCCGGGGCGGCTCTGATTATTTTCCTTGGCCAGCTCCTCACCGCTGGAACCCCGGCGCTCTTCCTCTACGGCTTCCCTGGCGTTCCCTTCGATTCTCCCGCGGCACATTCCCCTACCTTCTCCCAGCGCCCTGGCCCTCCCTGGCGACCCCCTCTGTACTTCCGGGGCCCTCCTGCTCCCTCCCCCGGCGCGCCCCCCACCGCCGCGTGCCCTCTCCCCAGAGTCGGGGACAGAGGCTGGGCTCCGCGGTCCACATCCCAGGGCGCGCCGGGTCCTTCTCTTCGGTGCCGACTCATGGAAACAAAGGTGACGTGCTGGAGTAGAAACTTTGCGAGTGCTTCAGGGTTCGTGGGGGCAGCCGAGGTTACCCGAGCTTCTTTTCCCTTTTTAGGTTCCCCTGGCGAGTCGTCTGGGGTGGGCAGGCCCCTAAGAGCGTGGGATTCACGGCCTCATTTCTACTTTTTTGGGACCTGGAGTTCCTTTGCTTGTCCTAACTCGTGCAGTGTGCAGGCCTGTTTCACTTGGGGCTGAAGAACTCAAGAACAAAAGCTACTTGCTTTCCTCCTTGGGCCCCTCCCTCTCTCCGTGCTCCTCCGCGGTCCTCCTCCCGCGCCTCTAAAACTACCTGGGAGGGGGGAGCCTTCCCGGTCGGCTCTGGAAGAACTCCTGAGGAAGTCGGGCCCGCCTATTGTCCTATAAAAGTCTGAAATCTTTTCAAGTTTTCTTAAAACAAGTGCACTTTCAAACTCCATTCTCTCAAGCCCAGGGTTTGGTAAGACTGGTGTATGATAATAGCGTGTCCTCCCAGAAAGCGGGGAGTGACGCCAAAAGATCTCTTAAAATGGCTTAAAAACAAGCTGAAAGAAGGATCGATAAGGTCTTTTTGTTCCCAGTTTCTAACTGTTGAATTCCTGCTTTAGGATTCCTCTTTGGCTGGGGTCGCCTAGCACCTTGGATTTGATGGCTTGGGTGTTCGATTCCTGTTGCTTCTCCCAAGGATATATTGAATTTTGTTTTTCCTTTTTTTTTTTTTCTGGAGACGGGTTCGGTTGTGTTGCCCAGGCTGGGCTCGGACTCCTGGGTTCAAGAGATCCTCTCACTTTGGCCTCCCAAAGTTCTGGGATTACAGGCAAGAGACATCTCTCCCGGATCAAAGGCAAACTTCTGATCAGGAAACTTGGGTTAAATTTGCTTTTCCCTAATTGTGCACCTCAACTTTTCTCATCGATCTTACTTCTAGATTCTCTTCACAACTAGAGTCTCCCTGCCCCCCAGTCTCATCTCGGTGTTACCGAGCTATTCAGGAAAGTGCAGGGCCAGGCCCGGTAGCTCACGCCTGTAATCCCAGCACTTTGGGAGGCTGAGGCGGGCAGATCACCTGAGGTTGGGAGATCGAGAGCAGCCTGACCAACATGAAGAAAACCCGTCTGTACTAAAAATATAAAATTAGCCGGACGTGGTGCCGTATGCCTGTAATCCCAGCTACTCAGGAGGCTGAGGCAGGAGAATCGCTTGAACCCGGGAGGCGGAGGTTGCGGTGAGCCGAGAACAAGCCATTCCACTTCGGCCTGGGCAACGGGAGTGAAACTCTGTCTCAAAAAAGAAAGTGCAGAAACAAGGTCTCTGCTTAGAGCATTGGGATCCTCAGGCCATGTTGTGGCTTTCTACACGACATTTCCTTGTATGTGGATAGAATGAAAGAAGTTTGTGATTCTGCCCCCACCCTTCCCACCGCCACATTTTTTGAAGTGTAAGCAAAGCAAGAAGTTTGGAAACAAGTCTTAACCGGGAAACTTTTCAAAAGCTCTGTTACAATAGGAAATGAGTAAGGAGGAAAAAAGTCTTTGTTTTTCCAAGTGAAGCCACAACCAGGAGGGAGGGTTTTAATGAAAACAGTCCTGACAGCAGCAAACGTGGTTTTACTGCAGTGAAATATCAGCTGGCGTAGCCTAGGAACTGAAGTCTTAACTTCCTGTTACTTCAGCTTTTGTGCACATATTGGAAATATTTGTTAAGAGTTCCAGAGGCCTGGCATTCATTTATTTAAATGAACTGAGAACAGAGTAAAGTCGCGCTGCAGTTTGGTGTTGCTTAACTGAAACCTGCTTTTGTGTGTCACTAACCTATTCTGAAAGATCAGGCTTCTTGTCAAACTAGGCAAGCAGATCAAAGGGCAGCCTTCAGGGGCTTTTTTGTTTCAAACTCTTTGTGATTACCAACTTACAGTTGGGAATTCACTGTTCAATGAGCAAATTTTCACACTTTTTCTAGATTAAAAAAGGGACGGAGATAATAGCCTTGAGAATAATGCCTGGCTTTTCAGACATAGGAGAGTTTAAACAAATTGCTTTATTCAAATTTGCTTTAGTCATTTAATTAACTTGACACTTTTTTTTCAAGTTCGATTTCTTTAATATTAAACCGAATGTGAGACACGAACTCAGCTATAGTTTCTTTAAGCTTTTTTGTAATAGTTCTTCACCCAAATTTAAATATGGTTTTTGAAAGCCTCATCTTGTCAATAGTGAAAGCAGTTTCAGTTTTAAACGGGCACTTTTAAAAAACTTTTTACAAAATTTCAATCATCCGGGGAGGGAAATTTAAAATACACGACAGTTAAAACTTAGGATTCTTGGGCGGTTTATTTGTAGCTGTTTATTAAGACCTGAGCTAAAGTGAATCTGCAAGATGATCCACTTCTTTGTTAGAACTTGCTTTACTTTGTCTTTGGAGAGTTCTGCCTTTTGTAGGAATAGCCTCCAGCAACTTCTGCCCCCTGCAGTCCAAAACTAAAAATGTGTCACCAAGTCAGAGTCAATTAAAAGGGTGGGAAAAATTCCTTTAAAAAAAGTTGGTGTTTAGCTTAAAGGGAATATTTAGTTTTTATTTCCTGTCAAGGTGAACTGGCTTAATTAAGGTCAAGTAATGCTTTCAACCAAATTACATACTACAGAGGAAAGAAAGTATACAAAGCTAAAAATGCATACCTTTACATTTTTTTGTTATTTTAGTTACTTCCCCTAAGAAGTACTGGTGTTTTCAGGCATGCGATTGTTTGTAATTCATTTCTATTTTTAAGATTCTAGATTGCCCACAAACAAAAGAATGTATTTCTTTAGTCATTCGGAGTAGCCTGCTGTCGTTTTTGAAAGGTGGAGTTAATAGCGTTTGTTATTTAATTTTTTTTTTAAGTTCAGAATGATGTTTAAATATCTGTAAAGGCCAGGTCTGTAGTTTTATTGAACCCAATCCATCAGTGATTTAAATATTCTCTATGGCTTGTGAATTCTTAAAATTTCTGGCAGGATTAAAGTACTTAAACAGCCAAAAGAACTTCCTCTGGGGATTGCATATTCAGTTTCCTTTGTCATGTAATCATTTAAAACTAAACTCTGCTTATTGATATGTAGTATTCTATTCTAGGTTGAGATCTAACTGGCAGCTGAAATTTAGGAGACATTTTAAATTCATTTACTATTGGGCAACTTTTAACCTGATTAAAGTACCAGTAGTAGAAAAATATGTTTGTGTGATGAAACGGAAAACATCAGTGGTTATATTTAATAAAAAGTGACTATTACTGCCCACTTAAAGCAGGTGTCTAATTTCAAATAAATGTAGATAGCAATGAATACTAAATGACCAGGCATGGTATTAGCAGAAAATTTTAGCATGTATTTTACCTTTAGGATACTGAGTTCGGTGTAGTATGTAAATTTCCTTCCGTATATCCGTGAAAAAAAAAAAAAAAATGCACGAGTGTCCCCTCTTACTTCAAACCTTCAGTAGAAGAAAGAGGAAGAGTAACATTTAAAATCTGCATTCGGATACTAGTTAGGCTGCTTTTCCTAGTTAGCACTGATCTTAGAAAGAAGGTTGGTAGGCACATTCCAACTGCCACAGCACCCTTCCTGTTTCAGATGTGACAGGTTATTCACTTTGGGTGCAATTTGTCTCCTCTAATGATTAGACGAAAGAGTTTTCTGAGCATCATTCAAAAGGAATGTGAGAAGTTAATGAATCCTGGAGGAAAGCGGCTGAGAAAAGGCGTCTGGCATTTGGTTGGGAATCTCCCATGTGGTGCTAGTCAGATTACTTTTACTTGTACCCTGAATTCAGGACAGAAAACACTGCGCCTTCTCTGGCTCTCGGTTGCTGGGAAAACATGGTTACACTGGTCCGCGGAAGTGAGCTTTGCAGTAGTTGCTCTGCTTATAAAAGCAATTGACAACTGGCCCTTGTCCTTTCATAGGTATTGTTGCAGCATCTGGCAGTGAGAGTGAGGATGAGGACAGTATGGACATTCCCTTGGACCTTTCTTCATCCGCTGGCTCAAGCAAGAGAAGGAGAAGGGGCAACCTACCCAAGGAGTCTGTGCAGATTCTTCGGGATTGGCTGTATGAGCACCGTTACAATGCCTATCCTTCCGAGCAAGAAAAAGCATTGCTGTCCCAGCAAACACACCTGTCTACACTACAGGTAAAGAAAGAGAGCATGAGGTTTACAGAGGCTTTTTTATTTTCAAAGTCATTTTATGGCATTCCTGTGAGTCATGAAGTTCCTCGACACTCCAAGAAAGAAGGAATATCTTTTTATTGTAAACTTGATAGTGTTAAAAGCTAATAACTAGCTATTTAGAGAACACAGAAACACTTCACAGTTATCTGTCAGATAGCATTTCCTTTAATGCCTAAAGGAACCTTCTTTATGCAACAGACATTAGAAGGAGGTTAAACCTTACTCTATTGCCCAGGAAACTGGTTTGATATTTAAACAAGGACAGACTTCAGTGAGGTAATTCGTGTTATATCTGTTGACATAGTCGTTTGAACTGGGAAAAATCAGTTACTGGGAGGAGTGGCCCTTTTCATAAGATGAGGTTTTCCTGTAGTTGATTAACTTAAATGTTGGGACAGTAGGTGATAGGTTAAAATGCGGGAGAGTTAAAAGGCAAACTTCTCTTACTCACTCAAATTGTTTTCAAGCATTTGAGATTTTATATTTTGGTTTTTTTGTTTTGTTTGTTTGAAACGGAGTCTTGCTGTGTTACCAGACCGGAGTGCAGTGGCACAATCTCCGCTCACTGCGGCCTCTGCCTCCCGGGTTCAAGCAATTCCCCTACCTCAGCCTCCCGAGTAGCTGGGACTACAGGCGTGCGCCACCACGCTGGGCTAATTTTTTATATTTTGGTAGGGATGGGTTTCACCATGTTGGTCAGAATGGTCTCGATCTGACCTTGTGATCCATCCGCCTCGGCCTCCCAAAGTGCTGGGATTACAGGCATGAGCCACCTCGCCTGGCAGAGATTTTATAACTTTTTCTTCGTCCTGAAAACGTTTAAGAGTGAAGAGACAAAAAAGGAAATATGTATTAGAAACTAGAAGAAGGTTTATGATAGAAGGCAGCTTTCTTGCTTGGCGGAGCTCAAATACCTTGAAATTACATTAAGTCCGGATAAGCCTTTTCATGCTTTCTTTAATACAGAGAGAAAGATCAATTAGGTACCCCATAGAACATTCTCAGAGCCTGTTGTCTCAGTGAATGAGGAAAGTGTTAAAGCCTACCGATATGATTTCAGGTCTGTAACTGGTTCATCAACGCCCGCCGAAGGCTCCTCCCTGACATGCTGAGAAAGGATGGCAAAGATCCAAATCAGTTCACAATTTCCCGCCGTGGAGCCAAGATTTCTGAAACGAGCTCTGTGGAGTCTGTGATGGGCATCAAAAACTTCATGCCAGCTCTAGAGGAGACCCCGTTTCATTCCTGTACAGCTGGGCCAAACCCAACCCTAGGGAGGCCACTGTCTCCTAAGCCATCATCCCCGGGATCAGTTTTGGCTCGTCCATCAGTGATCTGCCATACCACTGTGACTGCGTTGAAAGATGTCCCTTTCTCTCTCTGCCAGTCGGTTGGTGTGGGACAAAACACAGATATACAGCAGATAGCGGCCAGCAACTTCACAGACACCTCTCTCATGTACCCAGCGGACACATGTAAATCTGGACCAAGTACAAATACACAGAGTGGTCTTTTCAACACTCCTCCCCCAACTCCACCGGACCTCAACCAGGACTTTAGCGGATTTCAGCTTCTAGTGGATGTTGCACTCAAACGGGCTGCAGAGATGGAGCTTCAGGCAAAACTTACAGCTTAACCCATTTTCAAGCAAAACCGTTCTCAGAAATGTCATGATTGCCGGGGTGATGGCAAGAGATGAATTGCATTATTTTATATATTTTTTATTAATATTTGCACATGGGATTGCTAAAACAGCTTCCTGTTACTGAGATGTCTTCAATGTAATACAGTCATTCCAAGAACTATAAACTCAAAGCTACTGTAGAAACAAAGGGTTTTCTTTTTTAAATGTTTCTTGGTAGATTATTCATAATGTGAGAGGTTCCCAATATCATGTGATTTTTTTTTTCCTTCCCTTCCCCGTTTTTGTTATTTTTTCAGACTGTGCAATACTTAGAGAACCTATAGCATCTTCTCATTCCCATGTGGAACAGGATGCCCACATACTGTCTAAATAATAAATTTTCAATTTTTTTTTCAAACAAGTATGAATCTAGTTGATGCCTTTTTTTCATGACATAATAAAGTATTTTCTTTAAAAATTGTTGTAATTCAGAGTATTTCTGTTGAGGGAGGTGCTTTTTAAAAATGAGTAGGAATATAGCACCCTAGTGAGCAGGAAGTTTGAGGGGTAGGTTGCAGTGTTGGGGGTGTCACCAGCTCTTTGAAAAACTGTGGACAACAAGCCAGTTTGCATAAACAGGATGTGTGATATTTACTCTTGAGAGCAGGCCCTTAGAACTTTACTTAAACTGTATGGCAAATTGAAATGAATCATTTCAGTGTTTAGCCACTAAATCCCTTATTGATCTGTCCTGCATGGTTTAAAACATGACCATTTTGTAAAGAAAAGTCTTGAAGCATCCAGTTATTGCTAAGTTTTCAGAAGAAAACAACCCAAGCAATCTCTTGACCTTTTTCCACATTACCCTTTAAAATAATTTCAGTAGTACAGATAGTTAAAGCATTTCTATTCAAATATAGCATAGCATTTGCAGAGAAATGACCTTTTAAAACATCTTAAAATGTTTTCTAAAATGGTGAAATAAACAGTGGGATTCTGTCTATGGTGGGATTGTTAGTTTATTAGGTATTTTCCAAGGTCACAGTTTGTGAAAAAATAGTGCTATGTACAAGTGGAGTTTGTTGGGATGGACAATCACTTACGAAGCCCAGATGGCCAGAAGGGAATTGATGTTGCTCCTTTCACTTGTATGGTTGAGCAGATTTGTCACATGCCACAAAAGCATTCTTTGTAGTCATGCTTAGTATGAGCTTTCTTTGTTGTTACAGTCATGTTCTTTCCAGCTCTGCCCCAGCTATGAATTGTAAGTGTGGGAGGGAGCATCAGAGCTTCAGTATTGTTTAAAGAATGTAGGAAAATTCTTACAAATTGAAGTTTGTCAAATTTTGAAACTATTTTAGAAAGTCCCTACTGTAGAAAGAGCTAAACTGAAAGACTTTTCTTGTAAGTGAAAGAAAAAACTGATGATGACTACCCAGAGGTGTAAGAAAACTGAGGGAATGTTGTGCCCGTGGGGTACAGCTTTGTAGGGCACTCAGCTTAGAGTGGTCTAGCCCCACCTCAGAGAGTCACAGAAATAGACAGAAACCCAAAAAGTACTAGTAAAGTAAACACAAGGAACAAAACAAACATTAATAAAAATGAATGACGCAAAGGTGATCAAGAATCATTACTTGCTCCAACAGCTAGATCAAAGGCTGAACATTTTGCTTTAGTATAGTTGAGGGATTGCCCTGGTACAGTGTTTCATCACTCACACTAGAAGGGGAAGGAAAGGAGCCATATGACTCATTTAAAAGAAAAACTATTAAGAGAGTCAATGAAACCCAAAGATTAAAAAAAAAAAGTCACCCTCAATTCTCTGTTTTACTTCATTTTTTCTCTATGGAGGTTGTTACAGGTCATGGTTGATAACAGCTGATGTTCAGTGAATGTAAGCCATTATTTAAAAACAGGTACATGTAACTGAAAAATGTGAGCTATTAATATCAAAGCCAAATAGAAATGATTTTTATGCGTTTTTAAAGTTCATCTCATAATGCATATAGTTTGGTCTTGCTTTTTTATTTAGTCTAATCTCTGCCTTTTACTTAGCATTTGTCAATTTACATTTACTCCAATTATTGATATGTTTAGATTGAGTTTACCATCTGGCTTTTTTTGCTGCTCCTCTTTTTCTGTCTTTTTTCAGGTTGAATTTTTTTTCTTTTTCTTTTTTTTAGATGAGACTGTTGCATCGAGAATATTTGTTTTTTCTTTGTGTAGTTTTTTTTTTTCGGGTTTTTTTTTTTTTTTTTTTTTTTTTTTTTTTTTTTTGTTAATCTGTCTTTTTTTTTTTTTTTACTTTGTGTCCTACTAATGGACATTGTGGTAACTGACATAGATTTGCCCAACCAATGTTTATTGGATAAAATAATAAGAAATGGTTCACATATTTTAAAAGAAATTAAACCGCATCCATAAATACAAGTTGGTAAGACCTGTGATTTACTACCAGTTGACTTAATTCCAAGAGATGAGATAAGAATATCCTGTCCTTTTTCATGAGAGGAATTTATTTAGTTACTACTTTAATCTTTTTTTGTTTTTTTGAGATAGGGTCTTGATCTGTTTCCAGGCTGGAGTGCAGTGGCGCCATCTCAGCTCACTGCAGCCTCTGCCTCCTGAATTCAAGCGATACTTTCTGCCTCAGCCTTTCTGAGTAGTTGAGACTAGGAGTGTGCCACTGTGCCCAACTAATTTTTTTTATTTTTAGTAGTGATGGGGTTTCACCATGCTGGCCAAGATGGTCTTGATCTCTTGACCTTGTAATCCACCTGCCTCAGCCTCCCGAAGTGCTGGGATTACAGGCATGAGCCACTGTGCCCGGCCTTCTCTTTCTATTACAATAGGTGGTGATTGAGCTGTTGAATCTGGACTCAGATTTGTCAGGGTTCAAAATAATGGCTTCACCATCTAGGTGCTGAGTGATCTTGGGCATGTTACTTAATTTCTTTGTGCCTCATCCAAAGACCAAGGATTAAAGAAATTTCTATAGGACTGCTGTGAGATTAAATAAGATAATATATGCAAATTGTAGATTTAGTATCGTTATTATTGTAAGTATAATTATAGTTAGTATTTAAGTATACACTTATCAAGTTTTGTTTTTGATTATGAAACTTCTTTACACTTCAAAGCAAGTTTAGGCCCATCAACAACTTCATCTTCAAAGCCCTGAGTTTTTGAAATGGATTTTGACAATAACGACTCCCCAGATGGAAAAATCTACTAAGAATCTCTTTCCAAGGCTGATATACAGCTATCATACAAATGGTGAGATAAAAAAGACAGGGAAGGAACAGTAGGCCAGGAACAGAGTGGCATAGAATGACAGACAGTAAATGAAAAGGAATGTAATTTTGAATCATCCTAATGTGAAACAGCATGCATCAAGACAAGTGGAGAGATAGTTCTGTCAGCTTTGCTGGCAAGGTGATATCCAAATAAGTCACGTCTATTTAATACAATCTGAGCATCAGTTGTGGCAGCACCAAGAGCAACAACTAAGGCAAACACAACATTGCACCTGGCTCACAATATCTCCAAGAGTAATTTGTGACACTATTTCAAGTGATTCCAATAGAACATGTTGTTCTCTGCAGAGATCATGCTTTTGGGAAACAGGTTAGGGTTCATAGCAACATTAGAGATGAAAATTATCTGGAATGTTATAAACAAGCAAGAAATTATTAGGAAGCTTATAACTGAAAGCCGTAATAACTGGCAATTGGACTTTTTTGTATAACAAAAAAATGTTTAATATAGAAACAGGCAAGTCAAGCAAACTAAGCCCAAAAAGTATTCAGAAATAAAATATGTATCAAATGTGTGTAATGAGTCATAGGACGTGGCCAGTACTGGTTGAATGGAGAACAAGGGAGTCTCATGGGTCTAGAAGCTGGAACTGTGGCTTCTAAGACAGACTATGGGCCTGGTTCTGTGTGATGCTGGCTGACTCCCCAATACCTTTTTTATCCTCATTAATTATCCCCCAGTGGTTCAGAATTTTTGACTTTGGAAAGCACTTTCAAAAGATCTAAAGATCTAAAATTCCTTAGATAAAATGAGTGAATTTCTGATGGAAGAGCCAACTTTCTTTCCTGGGAAGCATCCAGCCATAAAAGATCTAAAAATATCTTGGAAACACCATATATTTGAAAAATGGAAAGGAGAAATTTTATTTTTCTTACTACACAGCTTACTCTCATATGTAATATCTTTATGGTCAAATTGTAGTAATGTCGGTCCTAGTTAAAGATTTGGGAAACTTACAAAATTTACTCAGGACAGGCAAAAAAGAAGGAAAGGCAGTCGAAATTATTAGAACACTAAGTCTCCAAACAAAAATGACCATTTAATAAGACTTTTCTTAGGCTGATGGGTTACATTGCAATGGGTTCCACCTTGGTCCTAAATTCAGAATGGAATTTGTGGCAGCAGATTGAGTGCTGCTTTTCTAGAGACTGTCTCTAACAATCTACAGCTGTTATTTCCCCAGTGTTCTACAGTGTATGTAGGACTCAGCAGTCTTGCATTTAAAGTAACAAGCATTGTTCTGTCTTCCATTGTTGAATGTGAAAGGATTATTTTTTTCCTAGACTTGAATATTTGCTGCAGGTATGCTGCAAAGTAAAATGAAGCAGCCTACATTATAAATGTTGCAATGTTGGATTATCTGTTGTTGTGGGAAAAAAAAGCTGGAAAGATCATTAAAATTTCTTATGTAATTAACCCAATCCTCAATGGAAAATGAAAGACCGTGATATGTGGAAGAGGAAATTGGTACAAGAGTCAACATTTATTTAATAGATGTCAGCTATCTGTCAGGCTCAAGGCTAGGCACTTTTCATGCTTTATCCCAAGGGAATATATCAACACTGATGCCTGAAATGCACCCCAGGCGTTATGAATTAATTAGTGAGTATAATGTACAGCTGAGGATGAGAACCACTGACCTGTGGGTGTTCCATGAAAACTAATTTCTTCTCCTTAGTATCTTTTTCTCTTGTGCTGTTGAATTCCATAGCTTTTCTTAGGCACATTTCTTTAAAACACCTGCATGCTCCCTACAATAACAGGTTCACCTTGAAACATGCCTAGTAATTCTGAAATATTTTCCACTCTTGAAACTGTGTACAAACCTCACAAATTCAAGGTTAGTCATTGCTATAATTTGAATGTGTCTCCTAAAGTTCATATGCTGGAAGCTTAATCCCCAGTACAACAGTGTTGAGAAGTGGGACCTTTTAGAGGTGATTAGGTTATCAGAACTGAGTATGGAAAATCTCACTCTGACTCAAAATGACTTCTATTCCTCACTCTGCAACAACAATCAACACAGAAAACCTCTGTGAACAAATGTGTGGAGGTTTTCCCCTACCAACAAGGAAGCAATTAATTCTGCAGCAGACAGCAGCTGGCAGTCCTCTGATTCAATTCTGACACTACCTGGAGACAGCATCAGTTTCTACAGGT